GACATCGTTGGCTCGTCCACCCAAGAGTGGCTGTATCCGTATCCATGAGCATTGCCACAACATCTATTGATACACGGATAAAGAGGCCATCTGCATATGAGCGAATAGACGATATTGTACCCGTTTATGACAGGGATTACGTCAGCAGCACTTTTGCTACTGAAAGTTCGAGAAAACTCTGTGAATACGAACGGAAAGAGTACCAAGAAGACGCGAGCGTGTTATGGCTCGATTATCAACGTGCAGTTGAACGCGTCTCTTTTTGCACCAATGCAAAGCCACTATCTATCCCTTTCCACAAAGGAGCAAGTGGTCGGATGGATGCTAGAATTGTTCTTCCAATCCGTCAAAAGATACTAATACGATGTTCATTGAGTACTTTTCGTGAACCTCTGGATATTGTTCTTCATCATGAACGGGCATTTGCGTGCCGAGAGATCTCGATTCCTTTGATCACTAGGGAGGATAATCGGATGAGTATCGTCGCAGTTCGCAAAAATAGCGTCAAACCTAGTCCCATCTCTGAAACAAAAGCCACTATCAACGCTGCTCGATCATCTGCCGATAGCCTTAGCATCGCATATGTGAATGCTACGTTTGACCAATCATGGATTGCGGAGAATTCAATGCGCGGAATAAGTACTGCGCTGGATTGTTCTCGTTCAGAAAAAGTCATGATGAACATATCGCAAGTAGACGTAAGAAGGAAGAAACCCAACACTTCTTTCTCCGAGGAAGTTGTCCTTGCTATTCCCAGAGCTGAATCATTGTCACTAGCATGCTCCGCACTGACATCAGAATTTTTGCGAAGTGCATCAAGCATAGCTGTAGACATTTCGCTACCACTGGTTGTCCATGACTTCACCTACTACAACTCATGTACGCTACGGGTGCAGAAAAGAAGACCAGGCTTTACAGGATTTGCTGAAACTGAACTTCCAGTTGCGCGAACTATCTCTGAATCGTTGAATGTGTGCGAACTCAACGTTGAAAGAAGGCGCCGAGCGTTTTCCTCTAGCATCGCAATTTCAATCACTATACCTCGGATCACAGCTACAGCGCTCACCATTATCGATGCACCTATAGAAAAGAAGTGCAAAAGTGCTTTTGATTCGGTAGTAGGAGTGATGCCCTTAGCACGCTTAGCATACAGTGTTTACAACGCGATGAAACTAAATGTTCGACGCAAGAGAACGGCACAAACCTCATCTACGGAAAAGAAGCTCGATATCCCGAGAACAGCTGTCGCATCTTTTAGTTCCACTGATTTATATGTGGATTACGCACGTCCAGGATTTCAAATGTCGGTCGAATTTATTGTGCCAATACCGCGTAAGGAAGACACCATAATGAGAATTTCGCAACTTAGAGTTAAAAGACGCAGGGCATCGTGCATAGCGGAGGTGGAACGAAGCGAGCCTATCCCCAGAATGGATTTTACCGAGTTAAGCGTTTGGGAGGTGAATGCGTCTCGTCAAAGGAAAGATGAAGTGTGTAGTGCAGGACTTGTCATTGCGATCCCACGTCTTTATGATACTACTGGTACGATCATGGACCGCCGGTTCGGTTTCACTCATACCCTAATGGATGAAGGCGCTTCCAGCTGTACCGTTGACATACCCCGCGAAGAAAAAAGCTCAACACACATATTGAGCTTGAGGGTGCGACGCTCTCGTAAGCAGCACACATCTCATGTTTCGTGCACAAAAGAGTATACAGATTTCAATGCTTATAGCTTATCAGCTTTCGAGAGCAAATCTTCGCTGACACGAAAGAGAGAGCCAAATGAACTGGAACAAGGTAGCTCAGTTACCGTCGACATCCCTCGCGTCGGGACCGAGCAGCTGCGTATTTCTACCCTGAAAACCTCACGAAAGAGAAAGTTCGCTGAGGAAGCCACAACATTTGTTAAGAAATTAGCATTGGAAGATAGGGCGGACTTGTATCTCACTGAAAAGAACTTCTCTAGCAGCGAAAATCGCTCCACAGAAGTGATATACATCAAGGATCCCAGATTGCCAGAGCGATGCTCCAGTACATTCATGGAAGTGTCCAACAAATGGAGAACTTTCGCTCATCAGCATGTGTCGAATCGTCCGTTTTCGTCACCTATGGTCACCACCCAGTTCGCTACATTGCTACAGCGTGTGTTTTCTGGCGCTCTGAATCGTGGATCTATCACAATGTCGCAACTTCATCGGCTGGCAAGGAATGCTGACGGGCGTTACAGTATGGATATATTCACGGATCCTCAGAAAGTGCTGATATCTGAATCTGTATCTAGCAGTTTGTGGAATAGCTTGATCAAACTTCGAATGCA